TTCGAACGATTTTATTGATCTGCTGAAAAATATATACAGATGATTCTAAGATCTAATCTAATTGTTATTTCATAGTATGATAGGAGATATTTAATTTCTATTAATGTTATTATAATTGCACATATATGTATGTATACGTGTCATAGTTTTGTGGAATTTGATTTCAGTTCTTTAAGTTACAGATTATGAAAGTTATTAGTTTAAATCAAAATTATTAATATACATCTTCTATTTTCATATTTATACATCTATGATACCAGTTAGGAATTAAGAGTAGAATTTTTTTTCTTCCTAATTATAATATTCTGGGGAATCACACGGATACGACATTTTCAAATTTGGTAGCATTCGAAACAGGTTTTTCAATTCCTCTTTCTTTTTCGTACTGTTCCTCTTTTCACTTTGTTTTTTGTATCTTTGACACCAGAACTGAAGTATAAAACCTGCACAAATTTTAACGCAAAGGCGCAGGGTTGTGCACAAACATGATGCAAATCTGTTCAAATTTAATTAATCAGAGAAAATTATTTCGAACGTTCTAAATTCTTCTCGTATTTATTATTAATACCATTTTCATATTTCTGTACTATTTTTACATTCACACATCATATCTCTCTCTCTCTCTCTCTCTCTCTCTCTCTCCGTTTTATCTTTTTCACGAATATTCCACTCGAAACGCACACAAATTTCAAGCGTTTAAATCTCCTAACATCGAAAACAGGTTTCCCAATACCAGCGCCTGGAGTTAAATAATAGGTTCTGCGGCGCGCAATAGAACCGAACTTATCTAGAATTTAGAAAAGAAATGTAAACGGCGATTTTCCCCCACTCACGACTCTGTAAAATATCGATCTACGTGTAGCATGTATACATAATGCACTGATCATATCTCTGGAAAAGATCGTAGATCGCGGACTCGAGTCATTGTGACTAACACGACACACTGCTCCCTGCTTATTACGTAATATTCGTAAGAGCAAGACACAACTTAAGAACAAATAGAAAGCTGACTATTGGCGAAGGTTCTATCGTTCTTGATTATCATTCTCTCGGTTGTAAGACGAAGGAGAAGTGACGGTAAAAAAGTTGACTGCTCGGCATCGTACTAAATAAATCGCTCTAAATAAATTACACAGGGATTCTATAAGCAAGTTGAAAACTTTTAAGGCAGTACATTCAAAGTCTGTTTCCTCGAAATTTCATTCTTTACTCTACACTTCTATTTTCTTTAGAATATCATCGTGTTGACTACTCACTCTTTTCTAGTAAAAAAAAAAAAATTTACAGATTTATGTATAAACGATGATTCTCAAATTAAAAAAAACTTCTCTTTTCAGCTTACTTTCGTATGTGAAATCACCATTTTCCTAATTAGGAAATAATAGAAATGATGACACTCTGAATACATGCCAGATCTGTCGAATAAATTATTAGCTATTAGTGGTTTGTTAACTACTCCGTGTTCCATTGAATGTAAATGGAATTTCCGCTTATTATACTGGTACAATCCTTTTCTGTCGTTCAAGTTTTCGCTGGACATGATATACGAGTTAGTTCACGGTAGAATTTCAGTTATACGTGTACACGCGTGCATTTTCACTCGCTGTAGAAAGTTTCGACTTTGCTTAACTCGGATTACTTTACGATATTATACGGATTTTTAATTCACTGTCAAATATAATCAGGCTTCAATTACGACAGAAGTCAGCAATTCTTTCCTTTTTTTTTTTTTTTTTCCCCACCTCTTCTTGAGAAAGTTTCCGGGTAGAGGAAGCATTAAGAACGATAAATTGATTATTTAAACATGTTACTTTATCGCAGTCAGTTTGAAAACGTGAATGTGAATGCGATGAAAAAAAGTTTCGCGAAATATTTCACAATATTTACTTTGTAGAAATTATTCTCTTTTTTAATTTGAGGATTCGTTTTACGTCATAATATTCTTTATGAAACGAACAGGAGAAATAAAATATAAAGATATGATACTGCTGCTTCTCAAAGTTATTCTAAATTGAACATGCCAAGCAGTTTATTCTTAATTCATCATCGACTGATTTAAAGTTCATTTAACCTGTTTCAACTTCTTTCTTTTTTCCTTTTTTTTTTTCACTGGTTGATTTAAAATCAGTCGACATGAAGAAATTAAATCCATTAGTTCGCGAATAAGTACGCATAAATAGATGAATGTCTTCTTTTTTTCAAAAAAAAATTAAAAAAAAAATAAAAAATCCTTTCAGGCTCTCGCGAGGAATGCAAGTGAAATATGCTATTACACAGTACCTTCAATCACTTTGTAATTTTAATCGTCCCGCCTTGTTCGAAATGCCAAAGCATTTGCAACAGCTGCATCACTTCACTAGCGAGATTAATGATATGCACGTTCATGCTCCTGCGAGAATGTGCAACGTGCAGTATAATAAAATTTTCCTCGCGAGATTTCACTTTCGGTGAAAATAAATCCGCCGCCGGAGTTGCACTTTAATCTTCAAAACGCATCTTTATCAGCACTGGTGTTGCTCTATGCAAAATTATAAAATTTCATTGACACGTTGACTGATTACGGTGATCGGCGCAACGTTTTTATTTCTAGAAATATATTTTAGAATAATTCATATAAACGAATATCAACCCTATGGAATGATAAATGCGTTTGTAACATAATATTTTTTAAAACTTGGAAAATTTTCCGTAGCAATCAAGATGTTAGTCAATTCTCTGCTTAAGAGAACCTCGCGAGTTAATTCAGAATTTTTGAAATACAAAATGACATTTTTCAACGGACTCGTGATAAAGAAATTGTACAGCTTTTTGAACAGTACAATCTTTTTTTTACAGTATTATAATATCTTTATACGTGTATTTAGTATTTATATTTGTACCGACATTAATAGTATTATAGCAAAATTAATGATACATCCTATATCCCATTTAATACAAAGAACTTTATAGACTTCCTTCTTTTTTTTTTTTTTATCTCAAATTAATTTTTATCTAACTTCGTTAATGTATGATCAAAATTTCGAGTTCTTCAACATACAAGTTTTTTAATAAGATCACTCGTCAAATATTAATATTATAGTCAAATATTAATTTCAATATTTAACTAAAAAATTGAAACTATCAATCTATATCTTTTCATATTTGTTTAATTTCACGTTGGTAGACAGAATATAATATCTGTATGTACACAATAACTTTTATAGACGTTTTTTTTTCTTTATCAATTCTAGAACATATATTAGAAAATCTATTCATTAGGTATAATTCTGTCTCGTAGAACTGTAAAAATCTCGTCTCATTTGCCTTTTTTTATAAAATCAAAAAAATATGAAGAATAAAATAGCAATCCAGACCTATTACAATAGCGTTAGTTGTAATAAACTTCGTAACGATTTAACCTCTCAGCTTTCGTTAATTAAAAGATCGTTCCTTTCTTGACACCAGCGACACGATGCTGTCCCCTTCCCCTTCTTCATCACGAAACGATCCCATTGAAGTTCCGCGATTTTCCCAATGCGGCGGTCGAAAGTTTTTCGTCCTGACGCGGGCGACGACGTGGGCGTTAATTCGAAACGATTCAACTTTCCTTCCGGGATCGTCGCCTGTCCTGTTCACGTCAAAACACCACCTTTCTGCTCGAGTTTGTCGCCAGTTCACTCACGCAGGCATGCGTGAACTCGTGCAGGTTAGTCCTCCAGTTTCTTCTCTCCTTCCACCTTTCTTCTTTTTTTTTTAATTTCTCTTCTTTCTCTCTCTCTCTCTCTCTCTCTCTCTCTCTCTCTCTCTCTCTCCTTTTGTTGTTCGTTCTTTTTCCGAGCTCGTTGCGCAGCGGGCGCGGCGAGAAATTATGTAACCCGCGCGCGGATTTCTTCATCGTCGCGCTCGCGACTCGCGGTAATTACATTTCCACCGTGAGAGATATCAGTTTCTGGCTTTAGCGAGCAAATTGTTGCTGCTTGCCTGGCCCTCATTAGCGCAATATTCCAACGGCAATGTTGCATCGTTGCTCGTGTGTAGAATGCTACTTTGTCTTGTTGATATTATCGCATCTCTGGGACAGAGATCAATACTTTTATATATATATATATATATATATATCTTGATTTCATTCTTATTCTATCATTTTCCAAGTGAAATATACTTTTAATATCTGTAAAAGTTTTTCTATTGTAACAAGGGAGTGTAAGACGTTTAAGAACATATTTTAATATTTAGTTTTAGTGTAGTTGCAGTACTTAATTAGTTTAGTATAGTATTAAATTATATTATTAAATTATAGTATAGTATTAAATTATATTATTAAATTATAGTATAGTACTTTAGTATAGTATTAAATTAATATTAATAGTTTTGTACAGTACTATTAATTAGTACTTAATTAGTTTAGTATAGTACTATTACTTAGTACTTAATTAGTTTAGTATAGTACTAAATTATATTATTAAATTATAGTATAGTACTTTAGTATAGTATTAAATTAATATTAATAGTTTTGCAGTACAGTACTGTTAATTAGTTTAGTATAGTACTATTAATAGTATTATTACTTAGTACTTAATTAGTTTAGTATAGTATTATTAATAGTTTTCTAATATCAAGCAAGAATTATAGAAGAATCTTCTTTAAAAGAGGATGACACATTTCATTTTTATCACAAATATTTTTTTTTTACTTGTCAAATACATCTTACAAATTTCTCAAGATCAAACAAGAACTATAGAACAATTTCCTTCGAAAGGGAAGAATATATTTTATTCTTTATTTTGTTCTCGCAAATACATTCTACGAATTTTTATGTAATATAAGATCCAAGACTAAAAATTTTATATAATTAATATTTAATTATATATAATTATAAAATTTTATATATTACAATACCAAACATTTTACATTAATCTCCGTAAATAATCGAAAATGGAATTCACTCGTTTGTTGTAACGCTATCAGCGTATTCGTCGATTTCATCCGTTTATAACGATTTCTCTCATTTCTTGTTCCAGCGATGTGACGCAGCCCATCAGGAATATTTTCACGCAAAATGATTCGTGCCCTTGTCCTTCTGTGCATGGCCGTTCTACCTCTTGTACGATGCCACAAGGTAAGATCACCAGTCGAGTACCATCGTGATCGGCAAGGACGGCGTTTATTCTCTCGTGCAAACGCTTCCTTAAAAAACAAAGAACATATGTGTGTGTGTGTATCGTGGTTGTGCACGGTGGCGTTGACTCGAAATGACAAGATATTCGCGGAATCAGACGACGTTAATTGTCGATTCGCCGCTGATTGCGAGGTGAATTCACGCTGCGTAAACACCGACATCCGTTGGTAACGTTAGTTGGCCTGGGTCGATGAGAGAAGGTAGCTGAAAGTGGTCATTCGCTTGTTCATATTTATTTTTATTTCATTTACATTGTACACGTTATTTTATTTTATTTTATTTCGCGATAATATTTATTTAATAATCCTTCGTATTGATATTGTATTAATCTTCATCAATCAGTCAGTTTGACATATTTTCTTTGGTAAAAGAATTAAATTATTCTGCAAGAAATAAGTACGTTCTGATAGATCACAAGAGTAATCGAATACATTTTGATTCGAGAATTAATTAAATTAAGAGTTAACTATCAATGTATGACTGTTTTTGCTTGTCTATTATTTTAATACAATTGCTTTTTTTAAATTATTACTTTGATATATATATAATTATTTTAGTTACAAATTACGCGTATTTTAAATAATTATAGATTCGTGAAATTGATGAGTGAAATGTTAATTACAATCCTGATATTGTTCGTGGGATAATTACAGAAACAGAATATTATAATTGCAACTCGACGATGCTATTTGAGAGTTAATTGACAAATTTGAATGATAATATTTTGCTCATTTCCGACTCAGTGGATGTATCTCAATCAGAAAATTCAATGCTGCGATACTTGCTTGTCTTTTAAAAGATGATACATATTTTACATGAAATTGTTGACCGAAATTTGAAAAAAGTTAACAATTTCCAGGGATTAATAACACCAACGACGATATATGAATCATTGATATTTCTTCGTCAAACACCCGATGAGTTTACTCTATTATTAAACCCAGACGATTGTGAAACACTTGCGCAAACAGTCTGAATTTTTCTAGTGAAATAGACCGTGAACTCCTTCATTCCTCAAAGTTTGATTTACGGAATGATTGGCATTTAACGTTATCCGCGCATCGAACGAATAATAAATCCAGCGCCCAGACGAACGCGCTAAATAATTAAACCGACGCGGATGATTTATCGTTTTTTCTCGATTTTTATACAATGGGCGAGTTAAAAGTGAGTCAAGTATAGCAAACGGACGCGAGCACGGAAATAACAAGGACAATGGCCACGATTGGACGTCGTCAGGAAAGTAACGTGGGAAGAGAAAGGAATAAATTGTACATTGAACTGTGTACAATCGAACCGCGCATACGTTTTCAATATCTATTGGAGCGCGTTAAAGATGACTCTTCTGACCAATTGGTCAATAAACGGACGGACCTTTGCATCTGATAATTGAAAACGGATTATTGTTTCAACAGTTTGAAGGAATTTGATTATCCTCATCTCTTGATTTTACAGAAAATAATCGAGGTGTTGAACTTTATTTCTAATTCAGAAGATACATGAAATAGATATGAATGTTGGAACGTTCAAGAGATAATTGAATGTTAGAATATTACGTAGAAATTGGGATGAGATCATTGGGGTAAGTAAAAGATATAATATCAGAATGTGTAATAGAGAAACTTTAAATTTAATCACTCACAGATATAACGAAGAAATATTTAGTCAAAGAATCTTCTATAATTTTTCACCCTACGTTGGAAATAATTCTAATGAAGATTTCAAATTACTATATTACCAACAACTAGCTTTGCAAATGGTGATAGTTCCTTTCTGTGACATATGTCTGTTATAATAGCAATAATTTCTAGTAGAAATAAAAGAATATTTCACTTTGATTTCCCACATGAAATTTAGAAAATATTGTATAAAAATTTGATAACATTTCAATTATAAATTATTACAGAATGTTTGACAATCAGTCGTAAAGTTAAGCTTTATGTTTGTGGAATATTAATTTAGATTAATGCAAGCTTAGCTACATGTACATTCATTTGAGAAACTTATAGAAAAATTAAAGAAACAAGCAAGCAGTGCAAGCTTTGTTTGAATTTTAATAGTATCACTTTTTTCATTTATGAGAAAAGAGAAAGTTTTTACTTTTACTTACACGACGTTCGTCCTTTCAAGATAGCGGTCAATACTCGGTTCAACAGAGATTGATTACAAATCGGGAATTTACACGAATCTTATCTTTTCGCTTTGCTTAAAAGCATCGATCACATGTCTTCATATTCTAGCACATTTTTTTCTTTCCTTCTTTTAAGAAACGAAAGACTCGTCAATTTTTTAAAACCTTCCAAGCTTCTCCTATATATTTTTAAACAAACTTGTTTGATTAATATTAATCTGGTGATCATAATAATTTTTTTCGTTTAAACAAAATCTTCTTTTAAGAAAAGGAAGTACTCGTCGATTCTCTAAAACTTTTTAAACTTCTCCTAAATGTTTTTGAACAAACTAGTTTGATTAATATTGGTCTAATAATTATAACATAGGTTTATATATTTTTAAACAAACTTGTTTGATTAATATTAATCTGGTGACCATAGTAATTTTTTTCCTTTAAACAAAATCTTCTTTTAGCAAAAGAAAGACTCGTCGATTCTCTAAAACTTTTTAAACTTCTCCTAAATGTTTTTGAACAAACTAGTTTGATTAATATTGATCTAATAATTATAACATAGGTTTATATATTTTTAAATAAACTTGTTTGATTAATATTAATCTGGTGACCATAGTAATTTTTTTCCTTTAAACAAAATCTTCTTTTAGCAAAAGAAAAACTCGTCGATTCTCTAAAACTTTTTAAACTTCTCCTAAATATTTTTAAACAAACTCGGTTGATTAATATTAACCTAATGATTATAACAAAGGTTTATATATTTTTAAACAAATTTGTTTGATTAATCTGGGGATCATAATAATTTTTTTCTTAACAAAATCTTCTTTTAGGAAAAGAGAGTTTCCAAAGTTAATTTTCCTCGTTAGTTTCCTCGTTAATTTTTCAAAGTCTATCTCACGTTTGTTTAAACAAGCTTGTTTAATTGTATCAAACATTCCATCGTCAAACAAGACGTCATCTACTCAAATCTTTCAAGTCTTTAAGGTTAGTCTCGCATTTTTATCTTACGACACGAGTCGATGGAATCATTGTTATCAAGTTCGGGAAAATCCGAATGGGATTTCTGTGTGTAATGAATTATCTTTATTACGTCGTACATATTCAACGAATTATGTTTATCGTCTTTCGGAAATCCTGGATCACTTGTACTATTTACTGTCAGCTCAAATGTCATACATTTTATTTATTCGAGTATAAACGTTCTACTGATTGTCTTTATCGCGTACCACCTGTTCCAGATGATTACGAATGAATTTTCGTCTGTTATTACATAATCAAGATGCAGAGATGTTCTTTCAAATGGCAACGAAATTGAGGTAAAAATTATGTAGATCTTGCGAGACACTATATTCAATTTTACAATTCGAAGTATCTTGTAAACACATAAAAATCTATGATCTAGTTATACATGTAGTATCATGTCTTCCAAAAGAAGAACATTAGAAATTTCTATCTCGTTTCTTTCACCGATCTCGCCATATTTAGGTTAATTATACTCGGATTAATTAAGATCATAACTGTACCAATATCGATAAAACATCGCCGATAATTTCAACTGATATAACTTCGCAAAAGAAGACCATATCGAACGATCCACTTGATCTCATTTTAAAACGTGAAGCCTCCATTTTGACCAAAAGACCGTAAGCTCGTTTCTTTGACAATGACTTCAAAAATCGAACATGTGTAGAAACATTAAAAAAATTTTTTTTTATCTAGATCCATCGTCATTTTGAAGATTAAAGTCGCCCCTTTACAACGATTAAAACTTTCTGTGCAATTTCTTTTTTTTTTCATTATTTTATTGAACGTTGAACATTAGAGTTAAACGACAAAAATCCAAGAAACGTTTCGTCAATCTGAAGAAACTTTCAAATAAAATGGTGAAAAAGATCGTTCAGTAAATTTTAAAGAGAAAATCTCAATCTTCGAGACCGCGGTAGATTTACTCGTGGAAAAGAACTTTTGAAAAAAAAAAACACGTTTGAATTTTTATAATTTTCAAGAAGAAAGGTATTCTCTCTTTCCCACCATGATGCAAAGTCATCTTTGAAAGAAGTGAACTTACATACGTCAAAATAGCTTTCCTTTTACATCAGTTTAAATTGTCGACAATTTTTCACTGTCGTTGGTAGTCAGTTATGCTTCTCACTGTAAATACACCTCGGAGATTTCAAGCGAGAATTTATAGAAGAATCTTCTTTAAAAGAGAACATTTTATTTTTTTCACAAATAATTTTTACACTTGTTAAACACATAGAACAATTTCCTTCGAAAGGGATGAATATATTTTATTCTTTATTTTATTCTCGCAAATACATCCAATACGAATTTGTTTAATATTTAAGATCCAAGACCAAAAGTTTTATAATACCAAGCATTTGGTTGTGCAAATACATATTTACCGCGCGTTCTTTTCATCGAAAACGCCGTGCACCCGATTAGAATTTATTCTTTACACCCGAAAGATACAAGATATAAATTTCATCGCCAGCCACGCCTTTCGAAACCGCGTTTTGCAACGGGACGAGGGGGAAAAAAAATCGAGCGTCAAAGGCTCGTGCCGGTTTATCTGGCAATCGGCCGTCGGTAAATGCAAGCTGCTTCATAGCCGGACAACCGTACGTTCGCCATTCAAGAGGGAAATCGTGCTTCGGGTTCGTATCGCCGTATACAATTAGGAGAACGACACGGTGATACCGATCTTTTTTCGAGTAAATCCGGTTCTTTAACTGCACACCGCTGTTGCGTTTTCTCATCGAGACTCGGTCGTTCTCTCGCGTCGTTAAAGTCACGGGAATTTGTAACGCTGACAAATTAAAACGCCGCCATTACGGAGAACTATCGGCAATTAACTTTCGATCGCGATTTGATTTGATTTTCCTTTGAGTTGAAGTAATCAAAAAAAAAAACAAGAGAAAAGAACGTTACTATAAGAGAATTGAAAGAAAGAGAAAAGAAAAATTAGGATTGCGGAGAGTTAACAGTATCCAATTGTATCCAATTCGTGCACACTCGGAGCACCGGCAAAGAGCGCAAATAGGACAGCGCACACGCGATCGAATTTCCTAACGTAATGAGTGAAAGTGTTCGACCTTAGTAGAGCAGCGTGATAGTTAATTGCAGCTCGGTTTCTGCGACACACAGTGGTATATAATACACAGGTGGTATATAGGTGTTCTTAAATGGTAGAAGCAGACCTTGGAAGCCGCGATTGGAGAAAAAAGAAAAAAACTTTAGAGAAACACACGCGCATCGATCGCCAGTGTTCCAACGATCAGGCACGCATGCGAGTCCGCATGGCAGTCGTTGATCATTGTTCTCGCAACTGCAGCCAATTAGCCATGCACTTGGCGACGACGAAGCGAACGATTGTAATGAAACTGTTCTGGCTGTTACAGCGATTTGCTAATACGTGCAGTTGCCGCAATCGAGCGAGAGAAAAGAAAAGAGAAGAAAAGAAAAAAAAATGAGGCGTTGCTCGGGCGTTTTGTAGAAATAATCGAGCTTTATAAGGAACGACGAAACGCGGCGCCGATTGCCTCCGACGTGTTTCGCGAAAATTGTTTTTGCTTCATCGGGGGGAAAGTGGCTGGGTTCAATTGCCGCAACGAGGAGTTGGAAACTTAAGGATCTGTCTGGATCCTTAAGGGCGATTGTAAAATTTGGGAATTAAACAAGCTGGAGAATTGGAAATTAAATAGAGTGGAGAAAGTTTGAAAATTTGTGAAACTGAGAGTCAGGAAATTCGAAAACTTACAAGTTAGAAAATTTTGTAGGACAGACAAATTTTGCAGAGTCTGTTAATTATGACAATTTCATCAAATATATTAAAACATATCTAGAACCGACCAAGTAATTGTAGGAAAAAGTATTTCGCTATAATTACATGTAAAATATAGGGGAAGTGATTAAGTCAGTTGATGTAAAAGTCCGTATAGTTTGGAACACGTTGTAATAAAAAATTCAGAGTAACAGACTTTTTTTGTTCCTACGTGTTATTATTACGCGTCGTGGTTCCCACGATACGACGATTACTTTTCCCTCCATGTTTCAACACTTAGCCGGGAACAATACTCGGCGAGAAACTATCCCGATAACGCAAAGAAAGCGAAATTAATAGCATCAGACCGACGCCCATGGTACGAACGCTTGAAATTTAGAAAATTACATAATAACTGATAGCGAATAAAATTATCTTGGCCAAAACTATGGATTGTAAAACGATATTTTCGCGTTCGAAACGGAAAATACAATAATTTCTTGTTAATCAAAAATTATTTGCTATTCACTTTTTATAATATATAAATATATATTATTATGTAATATAAATATATAATATATTTTTATAATGTATAGATATTATAATGTAATACAAATATATAATATATTTTTATAATATACAAATATTATAATGTAATATAAATATATATATATATAATATATTATAATATATATATAAAATATATTTTTATAATATATAAATATTATAATGTAATATAAATATATATTATAATATATATAAATAAATTGTATATAAATATATATATTATAATACATAAATTTAATTATACTTATATTAATAATACTTGTACTTAAATTAATTGTAAAATTGCAAGTGAGTAATGAAAGTATAATAATAGGTTCTCCTCATCTAGTATTATCAATTTTTAAAAAATTTTCAATATTCAATTGAAAGTTAAATATTCGGTATACCTTAACATAAGTGTTAAAGAAATGGAAGCGTAAAGTATGAGCTGACGATAAGTTTCTTGTCTGTTGCAGATCCACGAACACATGACAAGGGAGGAGATATTATCGGTGTTTCACACGGGACACGAGTCTGGTAATCACGATAAAAAAAAAAAAAAAAATTTAACAACTAGCGGTAGACAGTCGTCTTTTCTTTTAATCTGAACTCGATTCACTTGCACGCTTGATGACCGTGCCACGTAATGGAGTCTACTAAGTGAAATTCATTTGCTATTGTATTTTGTCGTTGATCCTTTCATTATGAAAGGAAACTGTTTCCATTGATAAATGCACGCTTTCAAATGATACGACTATGTTGTAAGAATACTTCTCACACAGTCAATGTTTTCCGACTAATCTAATATCATAAAATGATGGTATCAATCTTCGTTGAAGTTCTAAAATCTCAATGAAAACGTTAAAAAAACGTTTAAATTCTAGTACCGACGTACGAAGTTATACCTGTGCTGCATTCGATGCACAAGAGAAGTATAGGGAACCCAGAGATACACCTGAAGGCATTCGGGAAGGACATCAGTCTGTCGTTGAAGCCTACGGAAGGGTTGCTGACAGTGAATCATTTACCTATGTGGACTGTCACGAAGGATACGTCGCAACCTGGTGGTCTCCACTATGAGAAGGTGACAAACGTAAGTGCTCTATCTCCATTAATTACTAATTACCTCTAAACATTATCTCATATATTAAACTCTAATTACTCTACTGTCTAAACACTGATCTCTAAATTAATTATTCCACTATCTAAACTAAATTTAAAGTTCCCAAACAGATGTATAACAAAAATAGTTAGTCTGTTAGAAAGTTGTAATTTAAATGTCACAAAACTATCTCTTTCGAAATTAACCCACAAAATTTCATCCTATCATCCCAAGGAGTGTCCTTTTGTCACAGTGAAGCTTCTGTTCGTGTTATTTCGAGACGACGCGTAGCGATGAAAAGAAAAAAAGGCCGAGGACTCTTCGTGGCGATTCTTCCTCGGGCCCACGCAGTTTGCATTATTCCTTTAAATGGTCGAAATCGCATAAAATCGGCTGCGTATGGCCACATGCCGTGCATTACCACCACGTTGTAATTGTTCTTCCCGTTTCAGGCCGACACAGATATCGGTGACATCTATCAAGACACGACGAACATGGCGTCCATTCTGCTGCACCGGGACGCGAATGGGAAAGTGCTCGTTGTAAGAGGCCATTCTTTCTTAATGTACCATTTCGACATTCCCGCCGTTATTGCGGCTCGTCTTTCGTCAACCACCTCGTCGACTCACTTAGGAACCGTCTCGTCTTGGTTATAATTATCGCAATACCGCGACTCGTTGGGGACAATTAGCTGGGTCGCGATTAGGGGGTGGGAGGGGGCCTGTTCTGTCGTTACAACGTTTAGCAATCTGTTTTCCCGCAAAACAGAAGGAATCGAACGAAAACGCTAGATAACAATTTATGTTGGACAGTTGAGCCTCACTCGTGCGTCGTGTGCAATTAAGTGGAAATAAGTGAGTAGGAATTCGAAGAATGAATAGTAAATTACGTCTGGAAATTTCGAATGGTGAAGAGAAATATTTATGTAGCGGAATCTCGGATTGAATTGATAGAGAAATAGATAGTAGTTCGAGTAAACAAAAGATTTCAGTACTAAACGTTCAATGGCTAACGTATGTAACATATAATAGTTCTTTTGGTTCTTATTTTTTATTCTGTGATTGATAAGTTTGATAAGTTGATGATTGATAAGTTTTTAACTTATTTATTTCGTCACTGAAATTATTCGTTCAAAATATAACCACTTTGCCAATCTTATTACTTAATAAAAATGTAGTTATCGCTAAGATGTAATTGAAAGAATTTTTATTTAATTTTTACGTAGATCGATCGACGAAAGGCGGGTAGCAAGATATCGTGAATAAGGAATTAATGTTTCAGACGAATAGAAATGGACATGCTTGTATAGTAGAATCTTCATTTGAATTTAAAAAAATTCATCGCAGAATAAAGAAATTTTCGTAATCATCTTGCATTGTAGGAAGAGTAACATCAATGACTATGACAGACATTACATCGTGTGTATCATACGTCGTGATCATGCGTCACTTATATAATCAGTCTTGCTATTACCTCCTCGAGTGTTCTTCTACAATGTTAATAAATCAGAGACGAGGCATCTCAACAGAGATATCATTCGCTGTGACTAAAACGATTTACGCGTTTCTAATAAGATCCAGTAGGAGCGATCCGTGGAGGAAAGTTGCACAAAATGGCATTCCGTGATCGTTTTGACATTTCCATTTCGAGCTCCGGCAATCGCTGTCCCTTTTCTTCCACCGTGGTTCGTTCGAAGCGAGTGTTGCAAAGACATTTTGCTCGAGCAAAAGCAAAGAAAAAAAAACCAATAGAATTCTTCATATCGGTTCCATCTCTTAGGATAGCGAGCAGCCGTTCTCAATGATTGCACGTCCAATCAACCAAGACTCAGTTTCACTTAGCAAGTTCGATTTCGTTTTATGAAATCGTAAAGAAAAGGGGGAAAAAGGAAAAGAAAATGAAAGACAAGTGACAAAACTATTGCAAAGCTGTTACTTGCTCATTGAACTGCTTAAAATCGACGAAAGCATAAATTGTAAGTAGACTGTGGCATTTTTCGTGGGAATCTTGAAAATGCAAAAATGTATGGAGTATACATAACACGCAGAAATAATATAAACTATCCAATTATATTATCCAAAAATATCTAACAATGTTTTAAGAAGTAAGGTAAACGAAACACTTGAATCTGGTGGAATATTTGTGAAATGTTTCTTCAAAATTTCTTTTGTATAAATAGACAAGTATAGTTAATATTTAGAAGAAATTTAAAAGAGAAGTCTAAAAAAAGTTGAAACTTTTCTACCCTGCTTACTTTTCGAATTTTCATTGAATTTTATTTATTATACTGTTTGCTCGTTATACATTGTAATAGTAGAATACATATTTACTATTAAAGTACTAACAACTATCTTTTTTACTTGCTTGAAACATGACTGGTCAACTAATGGAACAAAATTACCATGAGGTTCTTTCTTCACGTGGAAAACAATTAGAAATTCTGCTTAAACATTGGCTGAAACTGTCGCTGTGACAATTGAAAGTGTAGTCGCAGAGAAAACAATTCAATCAAATTAGAAGGAAGGTCGTTGAATTAGTTTAGAAAAAGTAGAATTCCTGTAAAGAGAAATTTAGTTTGGTAATCATTAAATGTTAATTATATAACCGCGTGAAAGGGAAAAAAAAAGTTGTTTCATTGTAAATTCGTATTCTTCGGTGGAAACAATCTCTCAGGAGAGATCTCTCCTTGACAGTGATTCCATTTTATGGTCACGAATGGAATATATTAAATCGAGCGTTCCAATTAATAAAAAACACGCGAGGCGGCATTGTAAAATCATTCTATCTTTTTATGACAATAAACAACGCGAGTCTCTTACATAACGGAACAAAGATGAAATAAATTATTTAATTAATAAATTTGTTAATATATTTTCAATAATAATCTACATTCTGCTTCTGTATAATGTTGTGCAACGATTGAAATAATTATTTCATTAATAAATATTGAACAATAATTTAAATTATACATATAATATCTGGAAATGAGAAAGTAATTAGTTATATAAGTATAATTTCATTTCTAATTTTTCTTGTAAAGATCCATAACAAAAGATACAGGCATAAATTTATGAAAATTTCTGAAAATAAAACTCTCGTGAATTATTTTTTAGAAAAATGCGAACAAATAATAATCTCTTTCACAAATTACGAAGAAAACACAGATTCTGATTGTTTTATAAAATGTGAAGTAGTCAAGTGCATAAATAAGTTCAAGTACCGGGAGATATTATTTACGAGAATTATACGAGCCACTATAAATTTGACTACGTGGCACTTAATTATTGAAGAAAAAAAGAATTGTGCTCACGTTCAGGAATGGAATTCTGATTCTTTCACCGTGATAACGGCTTGGCACACTGAAAGCACATTATGCAGTAATTCGTTGAAAATTCAGGTTTAAAGTTAGCGTTGTCTGTATCACTTTTGCAGAGTATCGTTCTGTGCAGCAGAAATTTCGCTACTTACAACTTTTTTTTATTATTCCCATGCATCAAGAATTAAGTTGAAAGGACGGCGTCCTTGGCAACGATCGGTTAATCGCTGCGTGGGATGAAACATGTCCTGTAATGTCCGAAAGAAATGCTAACAAACGTTTAAAAATCGATTTCGACATACGGCAAACCACGTGAAGCACGAGTAAAAGGTATATCAATTTCTCGAAAAATAATTACAAAACGCGATCCTGCCTACGACGAAACTTTTCAAAATTGAACAATTGTTTACTATATAAAAATTTTTACGAACATATTACATAAAACTGTTACGAAATATCGTGCGTGTTGTATCAAAACGTTTCCGAGATTCTATTACAACATGATAATCGATCTAGCATTTGTAGAAGATATACGTGGAAATTAGAAATTATTTGCAGAATTATAATTAAAAATTTAACACAATGTACGAATAATAATCTCAGATATATAATTATTATGAGCGTTAAGAATGATTCAACTGAATATACTTAAAATTAATATAAATATCTCGTAATGTCTATGTTGCATTCGTTTCATATTATATTAATCGAATCACAGCTATAATAATCTCAGATATATAATTATTATAAGCGTTAAGAATGATTCAACTGAATATACTTAAAATTAATATAAATATCTCGTAATTTCTATGTTTTCTATGTGCATTCGTTTCATATTATATTAATCGAATCACAGCTATGTTTTACTGTAATGTTAATGAAATCTCAGGATGTTCTGCACACGTGCAGAATATATTATACATTCATAAAATATATATATATATATATATATATATATATATATATTCATAAAAAATATGATATATATATATATTCTTGATGTATAAAACGACGTTGTCACGTTCTTCCAACATATATAGCTGTCACGTTGTAATGATTAATACGAGCAACCATAAATAATTGTACATACCGTTAGCTACACGAGAGGAAATTCCAAAGACAACGGATATCGTCAAATCGCGTTACATAATGCCGTAAAAACGTTGTTCTATATGACCCCATGTGTCCTGACCTTTCGCTTTCACTCTCCCTCCCTCGATCTGACCAGTGCACACGAATCTCTCTCGAATCGCGGATCGAACATGTTGATCATACCCGGAACGGAAATACCAACGATCCGACAGAATCGACCGACTTCGACTGTTCCCTCCATGGAACAACTGTACATTTCATTTTCGTCTTCGTTTTTATCCATTATTAACGTTCACGTTGGATGAAATTAGTCACGTCGTGATAATTATACGATTCAGACGGAAGTCACAGTTGATCATCGAATGGAAAATTGACGTTGAAGGAATGTACGATTAAGCTGTTAACCGATTATTGTTGATTAACTCATTAAACAAGCCATTACACGTGTTATTGATACCGGAAACGCAGATCGAGCTTCGAATTAGCTAGATCGTATATCTTTCTCGTCTGTTAGAAATTGGTGTTGTCGAAACTTTTATTCTTTTGTTCTTTAAACTTGTAACTATATAAACTTTAATTATAATATATATATATATTATAATTAATATTTATTAATATATATTAATATATATTAATTAATATATTATATATATTTATATTATATTTTTTATTTTTACATTAAATTTCATATAATGTAATATTATAGATTTAAGTGTACAATCGCATTAGTCATAACTTTAGATACATTTTTACTGCATTCGTATTAATTTAACATTCCGCTGTATGTCAATTTCTGTTTATTTTTACGACGACAGGCATGTTCATTTCTTCATTACTAAAATAAAGTATTTTAGAACATTTAACTAGTAAAACGTTCTAAAATATTCTAGACATTTAACTAGTAAAATATTCTAGACATTTAACTAGTAAAACGTTCTAAAATATTCTAGACAAGGAGATAACTATTCATATTGAGAATATGTATCGGTATATAGAACATCTACAGTGGCTACATTTATTGAAAGTACTTACATCCTAATTCTATAAATATTATTCACAAATTTTTGCAATTTCACGCGAGAGACTTAATTAATCAGTAAATCTGCAAATGCTGCAATAGATACAACGATGTGCAACGTCATATTGTAGCCACTGTACGTATTTCACGCGTAGAATCGTTTGAACGATACTCTTTGCTCGTTTTGCAAAATAACATGTAATCCTGGTTGAAACCAGGATGGTAATATTGGTTCAGAGCTAGTGATTCGACCACTGCCAGATAGGATATTAGACGAACTGGTAAGCAAGAATTCCAGTCTCCTTCACGGAGAGGAGTTACTGCCAAACGTGACGCGAAGCAAAGGGAACTTGAAGCGCACGAGTCATCACGTGGTGTACAAGAAAGTGGCTCGCACGAGCGGCGACGAATACAGCGATTTCAGTGAGTGATCCTTTTGTATTACCACATCGAGGCAGGTGAAATCCTCGGGAGATCGGTTTCTCGTGATTAAACATCGATTTTAGCACTGATGGAACCTGACCATTTGGCCAAGAGGTACAGATCGAAACGATCGATCACCACTAGAACGAAGAGGGAAGCGCCGTATGTGATCTACCCGGAAATTCTCTGTATCGTGGACTACGATGGATACAGGTGAAAGATTATTTATTACTCGATTAAGGATTAACAATAATTTATTGCAATTTGTAATTAATTTCATTGTACATCGGAATTTATTCGTAATTGCGATATTATAACGGGAATACTTCGATGATTTATTATAATATATTTTTATTATAATAATTTAATTATAATATTGTAATATTTATTAATTATAATATTATAATATTTATTAATTATAATATTTTAATATTTATTAAATATATTTTTAATATATATTTTAATATTTATTAATTATAATATTTTTATTATAATAATTTTAGTGTATTTAGAATTTATTTTGTAATTTAGAATAATATAATAATTATATGAGATTGTAAATACAGCTGCTACATAATAATATAATAATTATATAATTATATATAATTGTAATTACAGCTGCTATATAATAATACAATAATTATATATATATATAATAATATAATAATTATATGAGATTGTAAATACAGCTGCTAAAATCTATTTAATTAGATTAAATGCCAGAATTGATGACGTCACAGGACACAAATGTATTATAAATGAGAAATGACAAGAACACCGTACAAAAAAAAAATATAATGAATCCGTGAAACCGGAATCTTTTATTTTCAGATTACACGGCGGTGATAACGTACAAATCAAAAGGTACTTCGTATCCTTCTGGAACGGAGTGGACCTGAGGTACAAGCTGTTAAAGGGGCCAAAGATCCGCATCAGTATCGCTGGAATTATCATATCACGGGTGAAGTGCAATTGATGATCATTTTTCAATCCTCTTATCAAACTATGATTGTTTCACCAATCAACGTTTCTCACGGCTTTCTCGTTTCCTCTCCTTTTCCTTTTTTTTTCTTTTCTTTTTTTTTTTTTTTTTTT